AGGGGGGGGGTTTTCCCGGGACGAAGGATGCTGCTCCACGTTGGCTGCGCGATTAATTACACGGCCAGCAGATCAGTTTAAAGCCCAGCCAAATTATAGATATCCGCAGCTGCAACAGATTGCTGCCGTTGCACTGCAGCAAGGTCAAATCTGGCTGAGTGACTAATGCTGCATGTTGCACATTGCATGTTGCATGTTGCATGCTGCTCTGCCACAGATCGATTTCAATCAACACTCCCCCCGCCGGCAGCAGCAACTTTTGCCTTTCAAACAAACAACAAAAAAGTACAGTCCACAAAGATCAACAACAACAGCGACGACGGCAGCAGCAGCAGCAGCAGCAACATCTACAGCAGCAACATCATCGCGGCAGAGTGAGAGGGGGCGATGTACGTCAAGTTTTCGTTTGGCTTTGGCCAGCTTTTTGATTTGGCCGAGACGTGTGGCAAGCCCAGGTCTCAAAACTGGTTTGCGTTTTCAGATTTGGGAGCTGCAAAAAAAAAAAAGTTCAACAACTGCCAGCCGAGCAGCGCTGCTGCAGATGTTGTTGATCTCATGCTGTTGTTGCTGCTGCCGTGTTGTTGCTGTGAGGTTGTTGCTGCTGTGTTGTTGCTGCTGTGTTGTTGCTCTCGACTCAATGCAAAGACAAGTAGCCGAGAGACAACGACAAACGAGCGAACGTTGCGTAAATTACACGAAAGAATAAGAGAAATACGAAGCTTGAAGAAACACTAAGCAACGACAACAAATGGGAAAGCCCACTGAGAAAAATTAAAAGACGAAACTAAGCATAATCTTTTAATATTTATTAGATTATTCTCAATGATTTTTAAAATTTTTCCAAGAGATGATATAAGCAACTACAACGTGATCTTATGGTTAAAAAAAGTTTCATATTTTTGTTGGGTTAAGAAAGTTTTTGGTTTTACTTTTGAATTAAAAGATAACTAATACTGTATAGACTTTTTCTCTCTGCAGGAGTATTAAAAACCGCAACGAAAAGTTATTATAAAATACTGCAACAAGCTAAACCCACAAATCAATGATATTTTACGATCAACTGTAGTCGGCCTTAATTATTAAATGGACAAGTTTGCCGACTTCTCTCTTGCTCGTTTTCATTATTTCTGTCCCTGTCTAAATGGTTCTACCCCTCTCTTTCTCACGACTGTGCTCTTTCTAACGCTCTTGTGTGGATTCCATTTGCCATAAAGTGCGTAAATTTTGTGGGAAAGTGGGTCAGACACACACCGAATACCGAATTTCGGTTCATCGAACACACAAATAACGCGATGCCAGAATGTGTGCGTGTTGGATCGCCCCTCGATCGCCACCCTTTCGGCTTTTTTTAACCATCCCAAATGACGCAGTGGATTGCTTATACGATTCGAATACGCCACCAATCGAGTGTAGGGTATTATTTTGGGGTTCTCCTCCACGGGCCAACTTATTTGAACTGTGTTGCAACGTTTGCAACTGCGGTTAATGCAAGCCAATAGATAAGATAGCGAAACTTTCCTGAGCCATCGGGTTCTTGACCCCATTCAGTGTTCCCCTTTTGTAATATTCAAATTGTCAGTAAGCCGTAATGACGATGTAGTAATAAAGATAAACCTTGAGTGGGGATTGATAATGAAAAAATGCGTTTAGCACATAGATAACGTGAAAGCTCTTGGGTAAATAGAAAAATGGAAGAATTTGTATATGCATTAAGGGCAATTTTTGTTGGGAGTTATATCTATATATTTAGTGCAATGGATAACTCATGCCATAAGGTATATATTTGGTTAAAAGGTTGTGTTATTTGTAAATTTATAAGAGTTTGCAATGCCTTAATTTCCTTAAAAACTGGTATATTGATTTTAGTATTTTATTTTATAGAATTAAGTTTTAAACAAGATTTATTAATTATGCATTGGTAAATTAAAGCAGAAAAGAAAAATTATAACGCATATTACACAACTCAACCTCTTACATTTCAGAATAAAACTCAGTTACAGAAGATTGCGTAAGAGAACCCTTAACCTTTTTGTAAAAACCAGACCTGTTTTAAAATTCGTTGTAGTTTATTTTAGTTTCGGCGTAGGGCATTCACGAATTCGTGGAAGTTTATTCTCGGCGGTTGGGCAACTTGTTGTTTGGCTTAGTAGGTTTTTAGGCCAAAAACGGGTATTTGGCATTTGCTGTTTTTGGTATGTGAGTTCGTTTGTACGTACGCGGGGCCCTCCCCCGCACCGCTGCGCCGATATCTCCATCTTTGAGATACAAACACAACCTACAGATGTTTTTCTTTCGCGGTCTCGTATTCTTTGGGTATTGTTGTGCCTGTTCGCGTATCTGTCGCCCACTTAATTTTCTATGCACTCTGATCGCATGTATGTTATATAGCTGGGCGCAGTAACAACTGTCCCACAATCAGGGAATTTATCGTTTTTGTTCTGGGCTGGGAAATGGCAATGTCTAGACTTCCACTCGGCCTGCTCCACAAACGCAGATCAAACAACATTCGGGCACGCTTGTTTGCCGGAGCTTCCCATTTAACACTACCCTCAATTTTTGGAGCTCCAACAAACCCCCCCCCACCATCACTTCAATTGTAGTCTTATGACAAATGAAGTTGTTATTTTGTTTATGTCACGTTTATGGACACACGATCTCTTTCTATTGCCCCCCACTCACGATCACGTTCCGTGTTGATTGCGATTGTGGTTTCTATTTTGTTTCCTCTGATTCGTAAGTGAAAGTATGTGGAACATGACGTAGCTGCTGCTCTCCGCATGTTCGGCTTCTGCGGCGGCTTCTGTGGATTCCTCAAAGGTCAAAGTGTTTGCCGCCGAGTTTGTTCGCCAGCCCACTTGATAAGACGCCGACGACTCAGCCACCGGCACCCCACTGTCTTTCGGTCAATAGAATGCTGTGTGTGATACCTCTTCCTTAAAAAGTTACCATTATTTACTTGGGTTTTAATGAAAATAAAGTTAGATATAGTACTACTAGAAATAGTATACGAAGTAAAGAAGAAATAGTACTACTTAAAAAATACCATTTAATTCGCATGTGATAAATAAAATCTTTAATCTCTTAATTAACATCCTTAAAATAGTAATTATTTGATTCAACCTATTTTAAACTTTTATTTCATTGAATTCTTTGGACAATGGACTTCTATCACAAGCCTTTTATTGAAAGAAAATCATAAACCTTCAACTAATTTGTCTAATCTAACTAACAGTTTAAAAATGTTTAAAATCTTAAAGTATTTTTTAGGAATGCGAGTGCTTGGGCAGTTCCGACTTCGAGATATTTGCCACATGAAACCTCATATCTTTTAAAAATCAAAGAAATCTCCAAATGATTTTATGGAAATAAGTAAGAAAATCTACTGGGTAACCGATAGTTCTTACTTGTTCTCTGTGCAAGTGCAATGAGCGTTGACTGTGTCGCTAGTTACATGTGTACAAATGCTCAAAGACAACAAGTAGGTGGGCGGGGGTGAGGGGGCAACTGGGTGGTACATGCAGCCGCGACTCTTTGGCGGCGGCATCTTTCAACTGGCGGCGGCATCCCGACAATGCCGCAGCTCCAGCTGAGACTCCTACAGCAATTCCCATCCCAATCCAATCGCGGTGTGCCGGTGCCGAGCTTCCGAACTAATTACATTGCAAAATACCTGAAATGTTGCGAACGGCAGGAAATCAGCGAAACGGGAACGGTGCTCGGTTTTCTGGAATGGCCTGGGTTGTGGGTCTGGATCCGGTGAGATCAGATCAGAGCTCCGCTGGCCGGAAATATGCATGGCTTGGCCACAAAGCTTTTGGCCAGCTCCAAATGGGCGCAGCGAAAAACAAGCGCAAAAATTTGAATGTGCTCTCGTCAGTGTCAGGGATTGGAAGATCCCCACCTCCAAGCTGCCATCAAACCCCTGCCCCCTCGAAAAAAAAAACAAACAACAACAATAAGCAGACCGTGTGCAGCGGAGCAGAGAGCTCGGAAATTAATTCAGTTGCAGGCCAAGGCGCGTATTTCTGCCGTTGTGTTTGCTTTTGTTTCCATTTCGCCACCGTCGCCCTCACGGGTCAGTTGGGATCGAATCCCGGGTTCAGATGCCTCTCCTATAACCCCTCTACAGTATATATAGTATATATATAATAGGCGTGACAAGCGCGCTACGCTCCGCTGACGCCCAAAATAATCAAAGACTCGAGTCGAGACGATTGCGATGACGATCAAGTGATGGAGTGAAGTGGGGGTGCCGAGGGGAATACACTAATGGAAAATTGGTTTTAAAAAAATCCATTAAACCGATGTTTTTTATTTCTTGAACAAAAAAAACCTTTTAAAATTAAGAAATGGAACATTTTTAATTGATTTCCAAAACCAATGTTGTATCAAAACGAGGCTCTTCTTTAAAGTTTTTTATATATAGTTAGATTTACAATAATATCATCGATAACACCCAAATCATTCTCAAAATATGTTTGTTCCCAAAAAAACTATGTAAAAAAGAAGCTGCTCATTCACGAATTATTTGCATTTCTTTAATACAATTTTTCCTCATATTTTCTCCCAGTGTAGTGGGAGTAATGAAGGTGGGATTTGAATAGCCGGAGTACAGGTAGTGGGGGAGCTATGATAATTACACCAGGTCAGACGTGAAATTTCAATTCTTTGTTGCTCATTCCCATTTCTTTAATTTTTCGTTGGTCGCTTAACGAGCTCATCTCCGAGGAACTCTGGAAATTGTATCAGAATGTCTTGTGGTATGAGATATAATGAACGATAATGAACTCAGGGCGGTTCAGGTGAACTTCAGCAGTGGAGGTTAACCGAAATGATGATGGGCAGAGATACAGAGTCCATAGAAAGAGGGTGTTAAGAAAACTTGGAAAATATTTTACATATTTATTTGTTTTATGAGGTTAAAAAAACTTTTTATTAATAAATATAAATGAGCAAAAGTGCACGTTAAGACAAAATAAGAATAGTAAATTGCTTCTTATTTAATCAAACTGATTTTTAATTTCATCGGAGGCCTCAAAGCCCCCTGTTATGCCAAACTGAAGAAGTATAAAGAGATACGATATAATGGCGGATAGGATGAGCAGGATAAACTCGTTGTTCAGATGGAAAAATTCCAATACTTTAATCTCCAGTCGCTGTGTTTGCTGCTGACTGATGAAAGTTTCCACCTGAGAAAGTTAAAGTACTTTAAAATACGGAGTCAGCAAAGGACAATCTCCACTAAACTCACACTCTTATCCCAACGCTGATCCATATCGCTGCAGACTATATCCAAAGGCAATTTCTTCGGCATTTGTGACTCCCTCACCGTATAATCCGCACACATAATTAGCAAAACCAGATTGGCAAACTTAACAGAAGCCATGACCAACGACACCAAAGCCACTTCATCGTCATTTAGATAGTGAAGAATATATTGGTAGAGCATCAGGCAAATGTTTACAAAGTTGTAGTAAATATAGAAGAGGATCTGCCATTGCAACATTTTGCGAAAGGCGTTAGTGACTTCATAGAGCTCACTGTAGATCATGGCACATTCATCCAACTCATCAGCGAAATCGCACAGGAGTCGCATCCTGCGATAGTGACTCATTCGCTTTCCCTCCTCCTGCGATTCTATCGGTTCCATCCGCTGCAGCATAGCCGAAATATTCGCAGCCATATGTTCGTACATGATTCCGGATACCAAAAATCCCAGGAAACAGGCATCCAAAACAAAAACCGTTCCACACCACATGTAAATGCCAAAAACGACAGCCACCATTCGTGCGACGTTCTCAAAGTGCTCTTCCTTGAGCAGCGGTACAAATTCATGAAAATAACCGCAGAGTGTGAAAAACAATTTTAGCATATAGAAAACCACAAATTTCGGTGGGAACAGTTGCTTCAAACGGGTAGTGGCACATATCCTTTGGTAAAGGCACAGATATCTATTCAAAACCTTTTGGAACTTATCCTCCCCCTTCGCCTGGATTATAAATGATATAATTGCCAAAACGGAAACGGAAAGGACCTGAAGTACGGCCATTAAATCCGCATAGCTTTCTATTCTATTGCCAATAGCCGGTGCAGTTAATGTTGGCCAAACTCCTGCGTAGATAAATACCAACAAACAACGCCACAGGATACTGAGGATGCGATTGTTGCTGCCCCTTTTTGGGGGCTTTAGCTGCAGCTTCTCCTTGTCCAATTTGGAGGAGAGCAGCGATAGAACGCGAGCAAGACGATACTGCCACAAGAGCAGGAATCGCGAACAGAGTTCCACTCTAGTCCCGGCCATAATCGAGCTGCAACTGAAGCGAAGCCCGCCTAATGACATGTCCTGCCATTCGTCCAGGGGATTGCGATAAGGAGCAGTCGCCCTTGCTGTTGATTTTATTAATTGAATGTGTGGATATCGGCAATTGCCATTCACGCTCCGCTGAGTGCCTCGCTGACTGATTGGCCCCAAGAACAACAATCGGGACTCGGGGATCGGGAATCGATGATGATGGACAGGCCAGCCCCGGGACCCATAGGCAGACCCAGTCCCAGACCCAGACCCAGATCCACTTGGGCACTTGGACGGGCCCAGTTCTTGCCCTTCAGGCACACTGGCACACAACAGATGGTGCTCGAGAAATAAAACCATCATCGGCACAAAAAAATGGGCGTAAATTGATATTTATGCCCGTGTCAATAAAGTTGTTTCGGGTTGATGGACTACAGAAATCAGCCGAATTTCTCGGTGGAATTTTGTAATGAGGTGAATGGTCGAGTATTTACCAAAAAATATTCAGATCTTCCTGAGGTATTTTGCTCTTATTTTTATTTTCAGTTGGTTGACTCACCTTTAAATATAGCTTGGGGTTAATGGAAACAAAATCACAAGAAATATATTTCCAAATATTTAAAAAACAAAGATATTTGAAGCTGTAAAATAAATATATATTTATAAAAGAAATTAAATTGATGAATTTTTAACAAAAAATATATTGACTAAGTTTCCTTCTAATAACTTAAAAACAACATTTTACATTGAATTTAATTTTTGTGGTTTTACACGATTAATTCATTAAATGTTGTTCTACTAATTGCTTGTATTTATCAACCGAAAACAAGTTGATAATCAATCTCTTTTATGGTTTTTCTTGTATGTTATTTAGAGCTATTAGTTACGTTAATTCAACTCATTATCTTGATTCTTCTAATTCGAATGTTAACACCTGATAAGTTAATTATATACAAGTTCAAGCACAAGCAATTAAGTATTCATTAGTCTACATAATTTTAAAATTAAGTAGAGTCTAAAATGTATTCATTGGTTATTGTAATTTCTTTTATAGTTTACTTTCGGACAAAATGTAAATTGGTGATCGATGATCTTTAACGTTTATATGTATATCTTTATTTTATTTTCCTAAACTTTAGATAAAAATGTAAAAAAAATATTAATGTAAACCCTTTGATTCTTTACAATGCAACAAAATTACTTTGTAAATTAATATTGAAAATAATCTTTGAGTAAGTATCAACATTAAATATGTTATCAATTTGAATATAGTTATTGGCGAACTGAAAACCTCGACCCGTTTTCGTCGCACATTTCCATTTAAATCGGTTTTTTTTCGTTTTTCGTTTGTTGCTATTTCGCTGTTGCGAAACATCAGCGCCAATGTTGCATGTTCATTTGATTTCTCCCTTAACGCTTCAATGTGAATTTCATTTCAATTCACTAGTGGGCAATTAGTAAGGCGATGACTTCTCGGGCCGATTATTTCTGCTGTGGAAATGGAAATCGTTGAAGTGGGAGTAGAGGTAGGAGAAGGAGTATGCGTTGGTGTAGATGGTGCAGCGTACCCACTCCCATTTTCCATTTTCCCCACTCCCAATCGGATTGCAAGTTGCCAAACACGTTTGCCGGGCATTAGAATAGCTCCACTTGGGGTCAACAAACTCGCAGCTGTACGAGTTGTTTTTCCAATATGTCCCAGCCAGAAGAAACAAGAAGGAAGTCGTGCCTCCAGAGCCTCTGAACTGGCAATAGAAAAACAACGGAGTCAACAGCCTTCGGCAAATCCAGTTGGGAGTTGCAAGTTGCGAGTTGCTAGCTGCAGACAGCAAAACACACCAGCAGCCAGCAACATCGGCGATCAGCAACAACTAGCAACCAGCAACAGGTCTAGTCCTGCCCCGATCAACATTTAACTTTAACAACCGCGCTGGGGAGGAGCAGCAGCTCGAAATGGGCGTGCAACAAGCCTGGGCCCCCAATAACTGGTTTTCCTAGATAGATATAGACAGATAACACCGGCTAGAAAGTCGCTGCCCGGCTCCAAGTTGCAACTGCAACAGCAACAGCAACAACAGCGGGAGCAGCATCCTGCAACCAGTTTACGTACAGTTCGCCTCCGTGTTATTACAGTCCCAAGTACATGGAGTAATTGCAGGGAGCATGGAGCAGACCTGACCCCAGTCGAAGTCCCCAATCCCCAGTCCCTAGTCTCTAGTCTCCAGTCCCCGAGATGACCAAGCTGATGATGGGGATCGCTTTTGGGATGGGGATGCACCGGAACAAATATATGCTAATAGGAGACACCCTAATGGAACAAATTTTTTCTAATATTTTAAGATCACACATTTGATATTCGATTATTATTTATGGTTATTATATGGTTATACAAGCGTTTATATAAAATATTTATTTTCTTATCCAATTGGTCGCGAACGACATTTCATAAGATTTATTAAGCGGTTTTAACCTGAAGAAACAATATAGTTTCAAACTTTTTTTTTCCCAATTAAACTGATAATTCATTTAATAACTGATTATTGTTACTTTATTTGTAATGTCAAACATGGCCTGCTGAAAAATCCGAATAGATTTCTGTGACGGCCAAATGTGCCTTAAAGGAAAATTCTGCGACTTAAATTAAACCTTTTTATAGGCTTTTTTCTTCGTGTGTTTTTATAGTATGATGCTAGAGCTGCTGCATCTGGGCATCGGGCAATGAACTGATGGAAAGACAATAGGAGCAGGTCCAGAGCCAAGAGCCAAGCCCTGATCTCGGACGGAGGCCAATCTATAGCTTTGGATGCTTATGCTCCATGCTGCTGTTGCTGCTGTTGTTGTGTTGTTTTGCTAAATTGGAAATAATTGCCCCGAGGCAGCGGCAGAATGCACGTGTGCACTTGTCAGGGGCGATGGCAAAACATATTTTTCAGGGTTTTTTTCGTACCCTGCAATATTCTTGTGGATCACTTTTTGATATAAAGATTAAGATAACATTACAATCGGTTTTAGACTTAAAAGTATTTCAAGGTTTCCTTCTCTTATTTTGAAAAGACAAACAATGAGAAATATTTATTGATAGTTCGAAGATAAAAAATCTTTTTTAATATAATCTGTGATTTGCAACTATTAAAATTTGACTATACATACATTTATGTATTTATAGAGAAAAGATCAAAATGTGATCTTAATTTTTTCTTAATTTGAGATATAGAGCAAAACTGACTTTTTTTAGTCATTCAAATTAAATTATCTATCTTTAATTAAGTGGGATTTCTTCCACCCCCTTTTTGCCGCCGCCCTAGTCAGTTGTTGTTGATGTTATTGCTGCTGCTGTTATCATTGTCATCGGTAGTTGTTGTTGTTGTCCGCTATGACATAAAGTAAGCTATGGGAGGGAAAAGAGAGGCGGCGGAGAAAGGGAACAGGCGAGCGAATCTGCAAAAGCAAACACAATAAGCAAACAAAACGGAGAGTCGCGCAAAATAATAATAACAATAAAGTCCACTACGGCACAATAAAAAAGTACAGGAAAGGTTCAACGACATTAGGAGATTAGAGAGCATTCACATGCGACTACGCAACGGCAGCAACAACAAAAAAAAACACGGAGAGAGTGGATACCATATGCACATTTAAATATGTAAGTGACGGAGAGAGCAGGAGAGAGAAAAACGAAAAAAACAAACGACAACGCATAGAGCACGAAAACAACAAAAAAGAACAGGCAAAACAAAAAAGTCATCGACATCACATGGATTTTTATGTTGATGTTCGAAGGGCGACGGGGGGTTAAGTGGGGGAAGGGGAAGCAAGGACAGGGGCGGGGTTCCATGATACAAAGGGGCAACGGGAAGGGGGTGAGAGTCAGGGACAGGAACATCAACAACAACAACAGCGAACACAGAAACAGAGACAGCGACAGGAAAATGTTTTTCATTGTCTATGCTCGTTGAAGAAAAACTAAAAGCAGCCAGATGGAGCCGAAGTTGGATCGTCAATACACTGGAAAAAATTGGATAACTATTTTTTGAAATCAGTAGAAAAACCCAGGCTTACTTGTGTTATGTTAAAAAGAAACTATTATGAAACATAAAACTATAATAGAGAAATAACTCTTTACAAAGATTCCAAATTTCCTTTTGAATGGTCAAAACGATTTCAAAATCAGTGTGATCTAGCTTTATTGATTGGTGACCCCGATCATTTTTAACGTTACACATTGAAACTTACAAAGTGGTGTTGCCCTTAAATGTTTTTAGCTTAAGTCATTATAATGTTGCATTGAAATGTTGTTAAGCCTTCTAAATAAAAATAAAAAATTCTGTGTTTTATGAAATTAAGAGATATTATAATTAAAGATCGTTGAACTGAGCAACGGAAGTTTTATGAGAACTAAATATCTGGATCATTAATTTCAGTGCAGGAGTTGGAGTCATTACAGTTGCGGGAGACATGCCCCATGCGTTTGCATAAGCAGCAGCAACAAAGACAGAAATAGGAAAGAGCAGAAGAAAAGGGAGTGGGTGGAGTGTGGGGGGGGGGGGGAAAGTGCACAAAGACAGCCCATGCAAATGCTACCCCCACCACTCTGCCACCCCCTTCGGCTTCTTCGCATTTTGGCGTGTGTTGCACAAAATGCCTCACTTGGATGCATCGCTATTTCCAGCCACAAACAGATACTGCTCCATATAAAGATCCCGATCTCGATCCCGATCCAGATCCAACCCCTGCATAGCTGGCAGGGCTAGAAGTCGGCGGCATTTGCTTACACTCAATTTGGATATTTAATTACGAGTGCGGATGGTAAATCTTCGGCCCCATCAGTCGCCTGGTGGTCGTCAAAAACAAATGGGTAAATATCGTAATGCCGCACTTTGGATACCTCTTTTTCAAGGAGAATATGGTTCATTTAATTCTTATTAAGGGATCACAGAACGAGTATAAAATATTTTATCATTTAAATGGATTTTTTTCATTATTTTGTATTCCTTTTTCGAATTTCCATCAAGTATTGCCCTTTCCTTTATGTTTTAATGCCATATCCAATATACCCTCAGCCGAAACGAGAAAAGGGTTAAATCTGAAGTGCAGAGAGGCTGTTCGATTTGATTAGGTTTTCAAAAATCAATTCTCCAAAGGCAAGGGAATTTATTTGCTTTGCCGCCTGTGTGAGAAAATAAACATGGAGGAGCATCTAAGTATCAGACGATGTCTTGGCCATAAACTCGGGTAATAGTGGTGATTAGGGGGTGGGTGAAGGGTTCGGAGTAGGGGAACCTGATCCCTGGGACTTTCTTTCTTTCCAACCATCCAAGCGATTGTCTCGCCTTTGTTTGTTATCACTTGAAGTTTGAGCAGTTTTACGAATTGATTAAGGCGGCATTTGTTTACGGGCAACAGGTAAACAGTGAGAGAAAAGAGGAAGACAAAGGGAGAATCGGTTGAGAAAGGGTACGGAGAATAAAAGGGGTTCCGGACCGAATCGTGGGTCCAGGGAGGGGAAGAAGTTTTGGGAAGCCGACAAACTTTCCGTTTAAATGCTTTTACAGTTGAATTGCAAGCATGTTCTGAACGGCAGTTTTTGTACCGGGTACTTATTGGCTTCAATGGGTATATTGTATTTCACTTTACTGACAGCCGATGGGTTTTTGACCATCTGTTGGCTGCCAATCAGAACTGAAACATCTTGGTAATAGAAAATAAGCCGATTAGTTCAATTATTAGCATTTAATTTGTAACTATTTTATTTAAAGCTTATCAGTTTTAGCAATAATTTTGGCATTTTCTGTGACTAGTCTAGATTTTTAGGAACCTTGCTAAAAAAATATTTTTATCTCGTGATTATATGCTTCTGGAATTCTTGATAAAAAGCCTGCAATTCGGTGAGCAAGAGGATGATCCAAGTATGACACAGATTTTTGTAGAACTTGTTGAATTCTATATATTCATTGATAAGATATGAAAATCTGAGTAATAAGTATAGTCATAGTCGAACAAGGGTTTGCTTTGCATTTTTCGAATTGTTTTTGTGTAATGTTCTGTATTTTATTTGACGACTTCGCAATCGTCTACGTCTCCGCTTCAGATCGCTTGGGTTCTGTGCGGATCGGTTCTGTGCTGATTAACTAAAGCATGACGGATAACTGACGCGGCCAGCACACCTGACAATTTGTTAATGAGAGCAACATCAGCAGGGCTCAAAGGCGGCAGGAAGCCAAGCGATAAAGCCAGACCGAAAAAAAAAACGAGAACGAACCAAAAAAAAGCGAGCAGGAAAGCAAAGCAAGCGCAACGGATGACGGATGTCCTGCAGCGGAGTAATGGCCAAAACGAGTCAGAACAAAACGGAGCGGAGAACATAACTAACTGCAGTAAAAATGTAAATAATGCAAAACATTTTCTCACCGCGTTTCGCTGTGCCGCACTTTTCAGGCTTCTTCACAATTCGCTGTATCTTTTTTTTTTTTTTGCTTTTCCCTCAACATACATACCCCTCTTTTTCCGGCGGAAGGGAACTTTTTTCATGGGAAATTATATGCAAGTGCTATCGGCAAAAAAAACTAAAAAGAACAAATCATGTGAGAGATCAGCGGAGCTTTCTAATTGCGATGACAGTCAAAACAAGCAACAGCTGTGAGATACAAGATACACGATACCAGATACAAAATGGATAGATGGCTGGAAGGATGGACGGATAGCTGTCCAGGGCCAGAACATATGGACGCAGAAACTGAGATGACCTTTTTTCCAATAATAAATGGATATGCATATATATCCCTATCCCTATAGCGTCTGCTGGTGTGTGCACTTCCCCCTGCCCAACCCATTTGTAGTGAAATTTAATCAAGCGTTTAATGCCACGGTGGAACGTCCAGGGAACATAATACACAAGCCATGAGGAGTGCAACCAAGGGAGGGGGATGCACTAAGAAAAAAGGTCCTTTAAAATTGGAATTAATATAAGTGTTTTAGGATCCATTAAATTCTTCAAGTAAATACATCAAATATGAGTTAGACATTCTTTAGAACTTAAAACTTTAAAAGAAAACTTTTTTGAGTTAACAATAATTTTGTTTGCCATTAAAAATTTAATTTTATTAACTGATTACAATCTTTGCGTACTAAGCAGCCCATAAATTTCTTCATCAATGAATAACTTTATAGGCAAAAAGATAAATCAAAATTTTTATAGCTGAGACTAGTTAATTTGTACTTTTTTGTTACAATCTACAATGTATAGATGTAAATATTTAGCAAACAAATTATCAAGCTGACGTGTGTAATTTAGATACATGCACTATGTTTATTTGCTAATAAAGTGTTAACAACTTACTAACGTATATAGGAATTGAAGCTTAATAATAAGTGATAATCTTTTTACAACTGTTTCTTTTTTACACTACTGTTTATTTCGAAATTTATTATCAATCTTTTATTTGCAATTAATTGATGGCTCTCTAAAATATTGGACTCTTTAATATCTATTCTAGGTATTGGATGTATTTGTTCGGTTCTTTCGATATTTTAGGTTATGTAAAACACTTTTCCCAGTGCATTGAGGGTGGATGAGGGGCTTGGCCCGAGCGAGGGCGTTTTTAGTGATGCTGAACCGGGTTCTACTGGGTTGGGTCGGTTTGGTTTGGTCGGGTTTTCGGATGGGCCCAGCTCTGGCTGCTTGATGTGCCTGTCATATGTCAGTCTGTCTTTTCTTCTTGTCCTCTCACCTACGACGCTGGTTAATGACATTTTGCAGTTAATTGCTGCCGCTGCCGCTACCGCTGCTGCTGCTGCTGCCATATGGGCCATGGTCATGGTTCGGGCTAAAAGCGGCATCGAATCCGAGATCGGGGGCCTGGAGTTTAGGTCTGGTAAACGAATATGCGCCTGTATGCTGCGAGTTGCATTTCCAGGCAATGTAATTTGACTACATTAACTGAATATGCCATAACATGATCAGGCGAAAAGAGAAAGGCCTGAAGGGGCTGGGGAAACTCGGAAAGTGAGGGAGGGTTTCGAACTCTAATGATGCTGTGTCAGTGTCTAATCCATCCATCAGACTCAGTGCCAAGTACAGTTTCTGTGGCTGGGAAAATAATACGCAGCTTAAGATTTTACTTTACTAGTTTTTAGAATAATACAGCAAAAAAAAAACGCTTGCAACAAGATTTATGTTTTAAACAAATATTTATTGTGGAAATATTATCGCAAGCCCCTTTCATATTTTCGAAAAAAGACTGTTCAGAAAAGTGCTCAAAAACGGAACCTTTAAGCCCATAACTTATGTTACAGACATCCGATTTCAAAGTGATATAAATTAAAATGATCGTGGTTTAATTTTCTAAAAATCTGTGTTCAAATCTTTCTTTGTATTTTTGGGTCGATTTTTCGTCATTTTTATGATGTACCCCCTTTCCAAATTCTCGAAAAATGGCTTTACAGAAAAGTGCTCAAAAACTGCACTTCTAAGCTCATAACTTTTCTTAAAGACATCCGATTTCAATGTGGCATACTTTAAAATGATCGTGGTTTAATTCTCTAAAAATCTGTGTTCAAAACTTTCTTTGTATTTTTGGGTCGATTTTTCGTCATTTTTATGATGCATAACCCTTTCCAAATTCTCGAAAAATGGCTTTACAGAAAAGTGTCCAAAACGGCACTTCTAAGTCTATAACTTTTCTTACATGGCATACCTCAAAATGATTGTGGTTTAATTCTCTTAAAATCTGTGTTCAAATCTTTCTTTGTATTTTTGGGTCGATTTTTTGTCATTTTTATGATGTACCCCCTTTCCAAATTCTCGAAAAATGGCTTTGCAGAAAAGTGTCCAAAATCGGCCTTTTAAGTCTATAACTTTTCTTACAGACTCCGATTTCAAAAATATGCATTCAAATCTTGGTTAATGTTTTCCAAATTTGAAAGATGGTTTGTCCAAACTTTTTGGTAAGCTCATAACTTTTCCTCAGATCCGTCCTTTTAAAGTGACATACTTTCTAACCCCTTAACTTGATTCGTTCTCCATTCAGGAGATAATGCAGAAACAAATATATAAACGATTTATGACAGTGCAACAATCTTTCGGATAACCCATGTTTTGAGGGCTTGGCCTTCAATCACTTTTTACAAATTCACTTACCTGTGTTCCCTCCTCCAAAATCAGATATCTTTTGATTGCCTTACAATACGAACTGTCATTATCGCATCAGTTGAACGTCATGTTACTATTGTTCAGGATCCCCCAACAGTTTTTATCTTTATCACGAAAACCAAAATACATATAAAGGTGGTTAACAAATAATAAAAGTGCTTTTTAAAATAGTTGAATCAAAAGATCTGAAGTTCAAGGGTATGCTTTCTATGGAACTTTCTTAAACACAATTTAAAAGATGATGTAAAATCTTTGAAAATGCCATTTGTTTTCAATAGGTGATGAAATTAGTCGCAATAAAAGCCAGTCATCTTTTGAAGAACCCAACAATGATCCCCTCCGTATTCCCCCACTAAACATGCTCAAATCTGACATTTTGGATTGCCACACAATATCAACTGTCATTATCGGATCAGTTGAATGCCAGGCTACTATTGTCGAGGATCCCCCTCGCCTTTGCCTTATCTTTTTGGCGCGCACTTTTCGCCCAGCCTGGTGAGCAGGTAATATCCTAGAGACAACAACAAAACAGGAATCAGATCCAAGTAGGCAGGTACATATGCTGGAAGTGAGGGGAAATTCGGGGGC